TCAAGGGACCCATAGGGAAGGACAGTGAAAACATTTATTAGACAAGTATGTGAATGCATCTTTCTCCTTCAGCGAGACTGAGAGAAAGACATTGGCTAAGTATACAACAGCATTCTCTGTGCCACCAACTTTTTGGTAATGGTGACAGTATTTGACACTGCAGGGGTTAAGGGTGGAACTCTGGTATTCAGCTGGAGATAGTCTGTATCAGGCTTCATGCCTGGGAGGCTATTTTGACTCACCATGCTATTACAAGTGCGCCACAGCACTTTTGAATTAAAGGTTAATGTTTTTCTCTCAGTATGTGGTATTGCTTGTGCTGGATCATTCTTTTTAAAACAGCCACATTTTACTTCCTATAACCTTTTCCTCATATCAGCCCTCTATTCTATCCTTTCTTCCTGCGGAGGTAATCAGTTTAGTGGATGTAAGAAATACAATTTCTATAGCCTTCAATTTTCTGGATTACATCTATGATAAGGCATATATTTTCAAATTCTTACACTGGAATACATCTTATAGACAGGAGGGCCATATTTTGTGTATTTTATTATGTGCACAGGAAATAGTCAATGATTTATAATAGTCCACACTCTACAGTCTGTTTGCTTTTTAAATGTTTAAATATTGTCACATACTACACATATTTTCATAGTTTGCTCTTTTTAGCTAATATATTGACTGCTATATAATATTCTAAGATTATGCCGTATATTATTTTCATCCTTTTGTTGCTAGATATGTTGCTATAACAATATCTATATATGAAAAAGTTCTATTGGTTTATTGGTATTGTATCTCAGAAATTTGGGGATGTGTCTGGGTGTCTTCAGCTAAACTAGCATTGCTCGATAACATATCCATTAATGATAAAAAGAATTCTTTTCCCCTCATGTTTCTTATTCTCATAAGGCCTTAAAAATGTAAAGCTTTAAAAAAAATACTTAAAGAGCACTTTTAGAGTCAGAGTAAAAGTGAACAAAAACTTGTACAATTTCATACAGAGATTTTCCAGATATCCCTACCCTGCACTTGCATAGCCTGCTCCATTATTAATATTCACCTCAGAGCACTGCATTTGTTATGTTCATTTCACATGAATCTTAGACATTTAGTCATGAGGTTTCACTTCATTCTGGTATTACTCAGTAGAGAAAATCTTTTCACATAAAACATCCCAATGAAAATGCAAAACTTAGACATCCACAGGCTATAATTTTCTAAAATACTTGCTATGGTAATGGATTTTTATATTAGCATAATTTCATATTGAAAATTTAGTAATATCTTCAGCTCTTGTTTAGGTACACATGGGAGCTATCTCCTTCAGCTTTTGAACTTTATGTTAATCTACTCACTGCTAATTTCAGTCACTCTAAAATACTCTTAGGAATATTTGATCATCAGTCATATCCATCCATGTCAATGATGTAATTTCTAGTATGGCTTCCATACTTGGATATAGGCACATAGAGTATATCATGACAAATGAGGATAGTAATGCAGGTTTTTTGTAGATGTAGTAGAACTAGGGCTGGCAAGATAGCTCAGTGGACTAAGCACCTGCTTAGGCAAGTTCTGGGACCAGGGTTCAATCTCTGGCACCACATGCCACACCAGCCATGCCCCACATGTGCTGAGCCAGCCTCTGAGACTGGGTGTGGTGGCACATTCCTATAATCCCAGACCTGGGGAGACTGAAAACAGGTGGATTGCTACAAGTCTGAGCTGCATAGTGAGACTCTGTATCAAATACATTTAAAAAAATTATTGGAATGGTGATGGATCTTATTATTAGAGGATTTCCTACTAATTTAGTATATGCAAACCTCTAGATTAAAGCCCACATACTGTAGCTTAATAACACAGAGGACCCAAATTATAGAATGACAAACTGGACCATGTTTAGGCAGTTTCAGTAAGTCACATAAGCACAAAAAAAGAGGGGAAAAAATCAAACACTATGATAATTATCTTACATATGCATTTGGCTATAGTACTTAGGTGTTTAAAAATACTAATATACATATTACTATTCTCATAGTATTTTGAAAATGTGGTGTCCATCCTGTGGTAGACAGGGTGATGTCAACTGGACTGACTTACGGTCTGCCCAGGGAACTGGTGGAGTGCACTTCTGGGTGTGTCTGGGTGAGTCATGGAGCCATGGCATTGGGGTTTATATCTGATCCCTGACCCTTTCCTCTCTGATGCTATTCTCTTGCTCTGCTTCCTGGAAGCCATGAACCAAACTGCTCTGTTCTGCCATGCTCTTCCCCTATGATATTTCTGCCTGGGAGCCAGCCAACCATGGAGTGAATCCCCAGAAACTCTGGGTGAAGTAAAATCTCTCCTCTTTTAAGTTGTGGGTTTCAGGTACTATATTGCAGCAGTGAGAGAGCTAATATACATCAATGATTAGTTGACTTTAAGATGATCTTCAATGTGGAAGAACCTCATCCAAGCAGCTGTAAAAGCAAAAACTGTAGAGAAGAAAGTCTGCTTCAAGGTTGTAGCATTAACTCCTAATTTTCGGGGGCTGGGGGGATAGCTCAGTGGAATAAGCACTTTGCTTGGCAAGCGCAAGGGTCTGAGTTCAAGCCCCGATTCCAGGAAAAAAAAAAAAAAAACCCTCCTAATTTTCCAAATAGAAGGCCTGCTCTAATTTCAGACTTGCTGGTCCCTATAATTCATGAGCTAATTCCTTACAATATTTCATAAATTTCAACTATGCTAAATATATAAACTTCCAAAACTTGGGCAATACATAAACATATTTAATATATATCTAATACATCACATTCATATGTAACAATTTTAATTACTATATTTCTGATGTAATATTTTACATAATTACACATAAACCTGGTGGAGAACCCTGACCAAGATCATTAAACTACGAATGTTTTTAGAGCAATATTATCTGAAAAAAGAGCTTTCTTCATTGGTTCTGGGTTTTTAGTATTGGCTCTCTAATTGATATGATTTAAAGGCACTATCCAGTAATAAAACACTGATTCATGTGGCAAGAGATACATAAAATACCATCACTTGACATTACTAGTCAAATACTTTTTCAAAAAGACAAGGTTCTGAGTGAATATGCTAACTGAAATATCAGAACGTTTTGGTCATACTAATGAGTATGAGGCTGATTGATTGTTCCTAACTGTTCTAGACAAAGTGGGTAAAGAAAAATATGACCTTAAGAATTTAAATTCCTAGCTCATTACAGTACTTATTACATGAATATTTCTAAGTATACCTTGACAATACCTTACCAATGCAGAACTGAGATACACAAAAACCCAGCTCAGTCTTATACTGAAAGTGTATGAATTACAAAGCAAGATGAATGCCTAACTTTCCTATAGAAACAGAAACAATGCTTCCTCCAAAAGAGTAAGCTACAAGGCTCTTATCTGACACACTTAAATCTACCTGGAATCCAATTAAGAATCTAGAAACCAAAGAAAGTTATGTTGAGCTATATTGAAAATCCTTCTATTCTAATGCCGGTAAATTTCCATACTACATTTTCTAGTATGTCTTAATGATCTCTGTCCTTCATTCTGAATCCAACACAAATGAGATTCATTTTTTTCCAAATGCAGAGACCATCATCCCCAAAATTAAACAATTCTTTTGCTTCTTCAGTTTTCAACTTGGAAAGGAACCTGTTTAACACAAGATTATTTTTAAAATTTTAAGTTAGTTTCGAACATTATTCATGGTTGATTTTTTTATTAACCCAATTAATGTTCTGAAAAGTTTACAGTCTTGTGTCAAGAGAATTTTTTTATTAATGTTAACTGATCAAACATCCATTTTAAAACTGGACCCATGTTTTCCCCACTTATTTGATTATTATTCTGAAAATACTAGGAAAATAAAGACAAAATACTTTTAAATTCCACATAACTAATTTGGAAAACCAGACTTGTTAAAATTGTGGCATTTGCTTTCATTCTTTTATTATAAAATATTACAGATCAATGTAACAATTCACATCAAAACTTTCCATATCCCCAAAGGCAATCAATATAAGTACTATTGTTCACACTGATCTTTTAATGTTTCACTGTGAACTTTGCTTTATTTTTCCCAATATACTGTGATCAATCCATGTAACCGAATGCCAGTTTTCAATCTTTTTACATACTGTATAATACTGCATTGTAGAAATAAACATATGGTATTGATCTGTCCCTCTACAGACAGAAACTTATTTCATATTCCAATTTAGGGCAATAAAAGCCATAATACAGTGAACACAGGGACAGGTATTTTTTGTGCATATATATGTGTATTTTTGAGACCAAAACACCAAAACAGAACTGATTGTCTCATTTAATCCGATTACTCTGAAGTAATATACTTTATTTGCATCAGTTTTAGAATTTTAACTTGGGTTTTAGTTTTATATATAATGTAGAGAGCAAACATTTTGCTTATATGAATCTTCCATTTACTGAGTAGTCCTTTATTACTCTGATTTTTAACAGCTTTATCATACACAAAATTCCCACATCATCTTAGATGGTTCTATTAATATTCAATTTGTTTCCACTGAATATTTAGTCACTGAATGACAGTTTAAATGACAACAGCTCTAGATAAAGTATGTAATGATAATCATGTATCATCCCTAGTTGCTTTGCTTTGTCAAATGTTTCAGCTCTTCGTGATCCTTTAGCTAGCTGCTTGGATATTTTAAAACAGTTTGTGAAATTATTTCAACTGTAACTAACGTGTAAATTCTGAGTGAAAGTATATTAGAGACTTTGGAGAGAGTATGTTTTTACAATGTCAAGTTTTTTCAGAATTAATTTTACTTCTCTCAAATTTTCAGGGTTTTTTTTGAGCCCTTCAACATATTTTATATCTCTATAGATAAAAGTCTCATAATTCATTTTTGTTTTTATTCTTACATAGCTTCTTTCACCAGGGGCCGGGGAGATAGCTCAGTGGCACAAGCACCTGCCTGGCAAGTACAAGGTCCTGAGTTTGATCCCCAGTACTGGAAATAAAAAAAGAAGATATTTTCTTTCACCACATTTCTAATTACCTATGTTTTACATAAAAGGCTATTTTATAGTTCTTTCCCCAATCTTCTTTTTCTTGTTTAATATATTAGCTGAGAGCTTTAGTATGTTGATATGTCAACAGCAGGTATCTTCTTCCAGATTTGAATGAGAATATTAATACCATTAACAAGGAAGGTGTCTGCTAAAGATTTTTTTTAACAGCTTTTGCATAAAACTGTTTACTTAGGCAATGATTTTCTAATGTTCTATAAGTTGTCAAAATCTTCAAAAGGCTTTCCCATATTCATGGGTTTCTGCTTTGGAACCAAATATGCAATGTAACAAGGTATTAATTCCTTCTGAGGGCTTTCCCATACTCACACTATGTACACTGTTTCTGATGAGTATGTATTCTCTGATGTCTAACAAGGTGTGACTTTTGACTGAAAGCTTTGCCACACTCAATGCAGTTATAGGGTTTTTCACCTGTATGTTTCCTCATATGAAGAGTAAGTGATGAGATCTGAGAAAAGGCTTTTCCACATTTACTGCAGTCAAAGGGTTTCTCACCTGTATGACCCCGTATATGAATAGTGAGGGAGGAACTCTGGGAGAAGGCTTTTCCACATTTATTACATTCATAGGGTTTCTCACCTGTATGACCTCTCATGTGAACTATAAGGGACGTTCTCTGTGAGAAGGCTTTTCCACATTCATTACATACATAGGGTTTCTCACCAGTATGACTTCTCATATGTAAATTAAGCAATGAACACTGAGAAAAGGCTTTCCCACACTTATCACATTCATAAGGCTTTTCTCCTGTGTGACTTCTCAAATGAAGTGTAAGGGATGCAATTTGAGAAAAGGCTTTACCACATTTATTACAGTCATAAGGTTTCTCTCCAGTATGAACTTTCTGATGAGTGATAAAATTCTGTTTTTGGCTGAAGGCTTTACCACATTCGTTACATTCATAGGGTTTCTCTCCAGAATGAATTTTTTCATGAGCAATGAGATTTGATTTCTGGCTAAAAGCTTTGCCACATTCCTTACATATGTAAGGTTTTTCTCCAGTATGAATTCTCTGATGTCTAACAAGATTTGACATCTGAATAAAAGCTTTCCCACATTCATTACATTCATAAGGTTTCTCTTTAGTATGAATTTTCTGGTGTGTAATAAAGTTTTTCTTGTGGCTGAAGGCTTTCCTACATTCCTCACATTCATAGGGCTTCTCACCAGTGTGACTTCTCATATGTACAGTGAGGGCTGAGCTTTGAGAGAAAGATTTTCCACACTCACTGCATTCATAGGGTTTCTCACCTGTATGTATTCTCACATGTATAATAAGCATGGAAAACTGAGAGAAGGCTTTTCCACATTTGTCACATTTGTAAGGTTTTTCTCCTGTGTGACTTCTCATATGAAGAGCAAGGGACGCAATTCGAGGGAAGGCTTTACCACATTCATTACAAGCATAAGGTTTCTCTCCAGTGTGAACTTTCTGATGTGCAATGAGGCTTTGTTTCTGGCTGAAGGCTTTTCCACACTCATTACATTCATAAGGTTTCTCTCCAGTATGAATTTTTTCATGATCAATGAGATTTGACTTCTGGCTGAAGGATTTCCCACATTCATTACATGCATAGGGTTTCTCTCCCGTATGAATTCTTTGATGTCTAATAAGATTTGACATTTTAATAAAAGTCTTTCCACAATCATTACAATCATAAGACTGTTCTCTACTATGTATTTTATGATGTTTAATGAGCTTTTCTTTGTGGCTGAAGGCTTTTCTACATTTGTTACATTCATAAGGTTTCTCTCCAGAATGAATTCTTAGGTGTCTAATGAGGTCCAATGTTTGACTAAAACCTCTTCCACACTGATTACATTTAAAGGGTGTTACTACAAGAGGGGATGAGTTATTGCCATATGATCTCACAGTTCCATTATAGTCAAAGTGTTCCTTTCTTATAAGGCATTTCACATTATTATGACAGTTACAATTATGTTCTAAACAGTTTTCAAACAAGTCATATTCATAGAAGTTATGTCTGGAAGAAATAAAGTCTGAATTCAGAGGAAATGCATTTGTGAATTTATTGTGACATTCATTGACTTCTTCAGTCAGTGTTTTCTTGAAAACTTGTTTCAAAAATCTGTTCTGGGTTTTCTGATGCTCATCAATTCCCCATATTTCTCCTATAATAGATTGCAAATAAATATCACCGGTGAATTTTTAAATACTGTAATTTCAAAACATTTTTTAAACGTTGGGATTAATACTTAAATTCTTGTATTATATTATTAAATAAATTTCAACTGCATAGATTTCCTATGTCCTTAGTTTTGCAAAAGAAATTCCAGGAAAGGAAAAATAAGTAGAGGCAAGTATTTATGAATACAAATAGCTTTGACTGTTTTTAAGTGGAATCTGAAAGAAAACCTTTTAAGTAATAAAAGAGAGCTATAAAAGGTACAAATAAAGAAGAAATTATAGAGGGCTGGGGAGATGGCTCCATAGAATAAGTGCTTCCCTGGCAAGCGCAAGGGTCTGAGTTCAATCCTGGTTCCGCCAAAAAAAAAAAAAGAAAGAAAGAAAGAAAGAAAGAAAGAAAGAAAGAAAGAAAGAAAGAAAGAAAGAAAGAAAGAAAGGATAGAAAAGAGACAGCACAGAAAGCTAAAAACTATACCATTTTTTAGTATTCTACTGAAGTATATTTTTATAAACAATGTGAATTCTATACTAGAAAATGTAAGTACCAAAACTAACTCTAGAAGATGCACAAAGCTTCCTAAAAACAAAAACGTAAAATTTACCCAGAAGGATTCATATAAGAATTCTAAAACATTTAGGGGAGGGGGCCAGGGAGAAGGTTCAGTGGAATAAGCACTTCCCTGGCAAGCGCAAGGGCCTGAGTTCAATCCTCGGTCCCGCCAAATAAATAAATAAAATGAAAAAATAAATAAAACATTTAGGGGAAACATCCATGCTATGTTAAATGTTTCAAAAGAAAGAACAGAGATCTCCTTATTTTCATGGGTCAAAGAGTATTAATATCAAAATCTGACTAAGATGATACACCAGTAAAAAGAAAAAAAAAAAAAAAAACTATATATCATTTAACTGTAACCAAAAATGTACCATCAGTTTTGTG